CCCCCGGGGGCTCACAGCCCCACACTCCATCACTGCCCTTTCTGGGCTCCTTCCACGAAAAATCAATGGCAGGGATGGCCGCCCCGCAGCCTTTGCTTGGCTTTTGGCTGCTTTAGGGGCAGGGCTGGAAGGTTGCTTCTTTTTATGGCAGGTGGGGATTATTTTATTTTATATATATATATATATATATATTTTTTTAAGGTTGGTCAGAATCCAAGTTTATTTCATGGTGGTGAGTGATTATTTGAGGCTGTATGGGAGGCTGTGGGTGTCTCTGGGTCACCCTGTCCTTATAATAGCAAGGCCTTTGCTGAAAGAGTCATAGCAAAATCCAGCTCTGGCTTCTTCCCCTGGGAGGACAGAGGGTGGGCTCCAACCCAGCCTGGCCCCCAGCCAGCAGGAGACGCACTGCAGCCCCCAGCTGGAATATTTGCTGTATTGGCCTCAATGTTTGGTCGCCCACAAGACCCAGACCATCTCCTGATTCTTCCTCTCCCCCTACATTTTGAGATCACCAATCCCCCCTCCTCCTCCCTTGGGCATTATCCCCCCTCTGCCCAGATCCCATCTCTCCATGGACATGCCCAGTGGACATTCACATTTTCCATTGCTGTTTCTCTCTCTCTCCAACACCCCCAAGCTCAGACGTGAGGCCAGACATTTCCGCACTGCCTCCTTTCCCTTTTCCACCCTACATTGCTCTAACCTCACCCTACTGCCTGCACCAACCCCACAAACACTGAATTTTAACCAACACTTTGAAAATGCCTGGATGGGAAGAGATGCTCTGGCAGTAGCACACCCAAACCCCAAGTGATGCTCAGCTAACCACATGCTAACCCTGCTGTTCCCTACACCCTTCAGTAACAAATACAATTTATCTAGCCTGGAAATTGCCTTCAGGTGGGCAAGGCATCATCCTTAGAATAGGCTGCGGGTTCCCCATGTTCTGGAATGGTACTCTGGCATCACTTGGGGCAGAACATTTCTCCAGGAAGGAAGCCAGCAGGACATGCTTTGGATGTAGGGACAAGGGGAACCACATGCACCTTCGGGGTCTGCAACCAAGCACCCTGCACCGTGGGGTCAGATACAGCCATGCCAGCTTCACAGCCATCAAAGAAAGAGATGGAGGGAGAAGGGGTGCAGCATGCCACAGTGGGGTCCCTGCAGCCCCCTCCTCCCTAGAAACCCCTTCCCACCACCCCAGAGCACCAGCACTGCGGCTGCGCAAGGTGATGAGCAGCGAGTCAGCACAGAGCCATTAGGGCTAATTTAATCAAGACGGATGGGCTGGTTGGAGGGCTGCTGCCCATAAATCCCGCTCTTGCACTGCATTAGTGTCAGGGCTCCTGGAGGAGGAGGAAGAGGAGGAGGAGGGGGAGTGGGGCTGTGAAACATGCTAAGTCACCCGTCCTGCTGGTGGCATGGAGTCACAGGGCAGGGCTGGCAGCCCAGGGTACCCAAACATATGCTGCAGAGGGACCCAATCTGCTGGATCCATCCCAGATTCAGGCTGGCACCTTGAAGTGATGTTGTGCCAGTACATCAAGGGGCTGCAGGATGCCCCCAGAGGATGCCAGCCCTGTTCCTCCCCGCCCCAAATAAATACAGCCATTGCCCATGCTATTAACATGCTTTAAGCATTCCAAAGTCTGTGAGGGCACCCAGCAAGGGGGCTGACCTGCTGCAGAAGACTTATGTAATAAGGGTGGGAGCTTACTGGGGTGTCATCCAGGGAGAGCAGATGAGGACATGGATGGATGCTCACACTCAGCCTCCCTGTTCAGAGCACCCAGGAGTTGTCATTGTGAAGAGCCTGTCCCATGAAGAGCCAAGCAGCAGAAAAACCATTCCTACCCCAGAATGTTGAGCACAGCAGAAAGACATCAGTCCTTCTACCAGCTGACAAAACGGGGTGCTGCTCGCAGCCAGCAAAACTCTGCAGATTTTGCTAATGAAGCACTGCTCCATCCACTTCCCAGCTGGATTTGTCCCCAGCTCCAGCACTGGCACCAAAGGCAGCACTGGCATCCCAGTGTGGGCTGGCCTTGTGATGTGGGCTCAGGCTCTGCAAATCAGGCACTGGGATCTGCTGCTGCTCTCTGCATCCCAACACCCCCCACGGAATCACACAGCATCCCCAACTGATCTCAGCACTCCAATATGAGCCTTCCTGAGTGATCAGCTTCCTTTGACCCGCCAGAGCTTATATCAGAGTCCCTGTAAAGAAGACCAGGCCACATCTGTGGGATAAGTGCTTGAGGAGACCCCAGAGAGGTGGTAACCTGCTCCTCACCTGCAGATGTACAGCAGGGAAAGAGCCAGTCTGGGGAAAGCATCCTTACTTGGCATACCAACATCCTAAGATCTGGACAGGGACCATGTCACGCCACGATCCTGCCCAGCAAATGTAGGACAAAGCAAGAGGCTTATCTGCAGCTATCGTGACCTTCTGTGGTTGGGGGGGAGGATTTGGGGCAGCAGCTGTGATCACCCAGACCTCGTGCATGAGCCCAGTTCTAGCTCATGCACTGGACCAGTAGGGACAAGCACATCTCTATGCTGTTGGATGCCCCCAAAAGCAAAGTCCTCCATCCCCTCAGTGCTCCACACCACCATCGCTCAGCTCCCTTTTGCTCACCCACAGCACAGATTATTTTAGGACAGAGAGGAACAAAGAGCTGCAGTGACCAACGGATGCTCATTGCAGAGCAAGGACTAGGCACCCCAGGGAGCCAGCAGCCAAAAAGTAACCAACCAAACCAACCCAAAAGCTTTCCCAAAGGGCTCTCTGCAGCTGCTTCCTTACATAAACGGCCTCAGGACAGCACCCCATGGACCACCAGCTGCTGCAAGGACAAAATCCACCCTGTCCTGAGCAGACGTCACCTAATCAGCACGCTGGCTTCCAACCAACGCGGTCTTGGGACACGCAGTAAGCATCTTATATAACCACCTCTGGATGGGGTCGGATCCAGTTCAGCCCCGTGATGTCCTCCTGCATGGGGAGGCACAAAGGGTCTGGTGGAAAAGCTGCTTTCCCTGCACAGACCCACTGCATGGCCACGGGACCTCTATCTCCACTGCTCTGCTGAAGGAGATAATCAAGGGTATGGAGAAAAGCCACCCCTCCCCAATGGCACAAAAAGATGGAAGAGGGTCACAGCGACAAATCCTTTCCATCCCGTATTTATTCGTCCTCCAGGACTTGATAGCTGGATGGGACGTGGAGATAGAACCTACAGAGCCCAGCACTGCCCAAGCACAGAACAGAACCCTCCCCTCTCTTTTCCTCCATTCTGGATGTTGGATAAGAAAAGACAAAGTGGCAGAAGGCTTCCTAGAGCCTGACCCCAGGGGGTGCCCTGGGTGAGCAGAAGTGGCTGTTCCCCACAGCACATCCATCTCTTCCCCCATGGTGAGGGAGAATTGTGAGTTTGTTTGTCAGGGAGCAAACTGTGCCTCTCCCTGGGGATCTTCCACCACCGTTCCATTAAAGAAAGAGAGGAAACAGCATTTTAAAAATCCAGTGCTTAACAAGACAGCTGCAGGGAGGCTACTTGACTGATTGAGTTTTTACCTGGTCCTTACAGGCAAGCCAAGGTACTTAACATAGAAATGAGGTTTAGTCACAGCAAGGTGTTTGGGATTAGAGCTGGCTGAAGAAACTCTGATGGAACTACGTTCCTCCGGAATATGCACTCCTATCAGAGCTGAAATGCTTTGTAAGATTGAATAGGTTTAGCCAGAAGTTCATTTTCTAAAGAAAACCAGGGAGCGTGGAAATACACTGAATGAAAAATTGTGCTTTTTCTTTCAAGTCAGACTGTTGTGTGTGTTGGCTATTCTGAAGTCATGCATTACCCTGAGAAGAACTTGGAGAATTTGTTTTGTCTCTAACGAAAAATTTACCCAAACTCAGCAATTCCCCACTCCCTGCTGCTAGAATTGAAGACATTTATATCTTTGCAAGAGATGCTTGCTGCGGACTGCAATACCAATGATACTTGATAAAAATGAGCTGTCAAAGCCCACCTGGAGAAAACCTTGGGAGACAAGGGCAGCCCACCAGGACTCCAACAGGCAGCAAAATTGCAAACAAAGCAATGATGAACCTCTCTAAAGCCAGCCCATAGCAGCGAGCAATGATTTCTCAGCCAGCAGCTCCTCTGCCAAAGTTGGACAT